GGACATGTCCCTGAATGTCCTGTATGTTTTTAGATACTCACCACTAATCAACAGCCACACACTTGAATTTTCTCCATTTTTGACTACTGCTCTGGTCAGCTGCATAGCTGGCATATCAAGTGACGTCACGGTTTGACGTGGCCTGTGTAGGATGGGGCTAGCCCAACGAAGTGATTAAACTGTATAGAGATCTTGGGTTCGGGGTCTTTCTTCTTCCGGGCTGCCTGCGAGCAGCTTTGGGGGTGGAAGATGCCTGGACGTGTGATGTTAATTCTTGCCTGTGACCCTTTGAATAAACCAGCACGGTTATATTTTTTATATACTTAAGTGGTCCGCTTCGTCTCTCTGAGTTCCTGGTTGAAAAGGACTGGGCAATATCTTTTACTGTGATCCTTTGAATAAATCAGCACTGTTTTGAAGTTACTTGGACTGTCTCATCTCTCAGAGTTAGCATGGTAGCAAGGACTGGGTCCTACAATAGTGAGGCTGGAGGTGTTTCTCACAGTAAGAGGCCAGACAGACAGAACTTGAAGGCTTTCAGTTTCCTCCCAGTGCAGACATCACAGGCCACATCTTTAGCTCCGGCATAGCAGTGATCAGCAGCAGCTTGGAGTCCAGCCTTCTTCAGCTCCTCCACTAAAACCGCTAACATGGTGCTTTTCACCAGGATAGGTATCGATGTGAACGTCTGCCTACACTGAGGACATCTGTAGTTTTTCTTCTCATCCTCTTCATCCCAGAAGCTTTTAATACAGTTCAAGCAGTAGCTGTGTCCACAGGTAATAGTCATTGGATCCTTCAGCACATCCAGACAGATGGAACAAGAGAAGGCTTCCTGGTCCAGCTGAACTCTTTTCTGTGCCATTTCACCTCTCAGCAGCAACGACTGTCTGAGTGTCATTTTCTGACAAGTGAAACTAGTTTGAGCTCTGATCTACACAACATGTGTTTCTGCAGTGAACGGGGCCTGTCAGCTCTTGCACTTCACATGTTGGTTATACCCATCTTCAAACTGTAGATTTGAAGGGGAGGGAACCAGGAAATATATGGACAGAATGGAGCTGCTGTGTCTGAGAGAAAAGGGAGGGTTATAAGGCTGGGCCTCATTCCAGGAAGTGGAGGGCTCCCATAGACACACTGTGGGATTAACCCTTTTGTTACAGTCAAGCTAATTTCCAAGTTAAAACCCTCAACTTAAATTCTGTTTTCCATCTTTCCCACTGGGGGGACATTGGGGGACATGGCTCCCCACCCAGGCTTCTGAATTACCTCTTTTTGTTCTGAAATCCACTTTGTTTAAACTTAATGAGAACAATGGAAATTCAGTGGATGATATAAATGATTTGGTGCTGCAGAGAAAGTGACATTAATATAGTGTAAGAACATGTCATTAAAGCTTTTTTGGACTTATTTAATTATGTCCTTTTGATTTTTTTTTTTGAATGAATAACATACAATTCAAAATATAATTTTGAGTATTATCTTTGCTTAAATGAACATGAAAATAATCTAATCTAACAAAATGGGTGGCATGGTGTCACGGTGATTAGCACCGTCACCTCACAGCAAGGTTTCGGGTACAAGCGCTTTACTGAGTCAGCAGCCTGTCAGAAGCATCTTTTGCTGATATCTATAATGTCAGATTTTCTGGATAACTGAACACATGAAAGATTCAGAATTGTTTGGTAACCCTGTTCTGATTTAAGTTTACCATAATCTTTTTAAAAGATGGCTATTATAATAAATCAAAACCAACACAGAAGACCAAAAACGATCATTCAGAGAGAAATATACCTGTTTTTAACATATAAAGACGCACAATCAGACCTCCTGCTCTGACTCTCATGGGAATACATAAAAACTAAAATGTTGATTCTGATTTTTTGCAATACTAAAAAAAAAATCACTGATTTTATCAAGATTTGCATTAGTTTTATAAAATGGTATTTCACTGCCCAGCATTATTTAAGTGCTGAATAAACACAAAAGTCCCCAGGAAATAAACCACAAAGTTTTTTTTTCAGATCTGGTTCTAAGGAATAATGAAAACAAACACTTTACTGGACACTGTTGCAATGTGTAGTGGTGACAGTTGTGCCCCAAAATGCTGTTATGTTGAATTTGTTTTCTGAAGCCAATTTACATTTATGATTTCAAATATAGCCCAATTTTGATGTTTTATAGTAATTCTGCATTAAGAGGATTATTACATTAAATTAGAATCAATTTGACTTATCTTGTTATTGCTGTTGAATTTATTGTATTTGATTTATCATTAGTATTTACCTGTAGGCTATTCTGTGTATTGTTAGACACTGGAATTAAATTAAATTTTGCAACTTTAGCAAACTCCCAAAATGAACCTTGAAGGAATGTTCGCTAACACCCCTCAGCAAAAGTTCCCCACCCTTCATCAACCCTTCGTTGAACGTTCCACGAAATGAAAATTGTTTGCTGGGTACCTCATTAGTATGCAGAAAAATACAGAAATAAATACATGTAGAAATAAATATATAAAAGAAAATTAGAAATATAGAGGTCTATCTATCTATTTATTGCTACCGTTGCCATTTTTCATACTCTATATTTGATCACAAACACCCCTTTCTTTTTACAAACAGTGGTTTCGTCCTAACTGGCGCGAACTTGGGTTGCCCCGCCCACGATAAACTCCATGCTGCGTTATATTAACCGAGTTGATGTAGGAAACATCGGAAGTATATTGATTTTGCCTTCAAAATAAGATATCGCAACCTCTGCAGCGACCTGTCGTTGTCGAAATCAGTCTTACTTTTAAAGGGATTATTCGGAAGTGCGTTTGCCTTTTTTCGCAGCTTCCCGCTGTTCAGGCTTCACACACACTGAGCTCGTTGCAGGTAGTAGGAGTTCAGGCCCGGTTGGTTTTGCTAGTTTGCATGGAGTGAAATAATATCGCATTTCTAGAATATAACATTAAATCTGCCTTGACCATACTTACAAACTGTCTTATCAATATAATCTTAGCCAGGTCGGATACTTCCCAGAGTTCATTTTTGACTGCTTGAATAACCAACAGGCTCGTGTAACGCGTGACAAGTTTTTTATTTTGTTAAGCAAGTAATTTTATTTTGGTTCCATATAAACCTAGAATTTGCTACATTTCCTCTACCGGTTGTTTTGCTGTTGGAAGCAATGAGTTGGTAAGTAAGATAATTTAGGTTCTCATAGTCTGTCGCTGTAGCTTTAACAATAATGCGTGAGCACGGCCAGGCTAAATATCTTCTAAACACATTAATTGTTACGTTGTCAAATTAATTTCCAAACATAAAAGTGTAAATGCTTAAAGCCTCCTCCACAGTGTTACAAAGCAATTTAAAGTATGCTGGGGAAATACTGAATCATTTATTTAATGTTATTCTTTACTAAACCCTAAGATTTGTCACAATAAAATGTTGCATCTATAGATGAAATACCCACCATGTGATACAAATGTCTCTTACTGTAGAGTGTAACTCCTTAGCGTGCACACAGGGTTTTCCCTGCCACAGAGTGGCTTATGCGCAGCACCTCATTGTTTTTGCGGTGCATCTCTAGCTGAATGAACGTAAACAGGACGACATAGGAAAGCGGGGTTATTTACTTACTGAAACGGAACCATTCAAGTACAGCAATACATAAACACTGAAATCAGCTTTGCAGAATGATTCCACTGAGGTTTTCCTAGTCTGTTTTTGCGCAGGTACCTTGGTTGGTGTAAGTAAATGTAAGCACTTGTACTCAGTCAGAGCTAAAGTGGTTTTGGCGCATCCCTAAAATCAGTCGTTAAAACAATTAAGATATTACCATAGACTACAGAGTCTTATCACACACCCTTACACATCATATGCAATTCACGTTATGTAAAGCGAAAGTTTTACAGATTAAAAAAAATACAAACGTGAATAGTTATACTCCTGTAGGACCAGCAGGAGAAATTTGCAGTTTGGATTTCATGATTTGGTTTTTTTTCCTCATGCTGACAGTGAGAAGGAAGAAGGTCGCAGTGTGTCCCCTCGCTGCCCAAAACCAGATGAGCCAGAGGAGCCGCTTGGCACATCCATGGAGACAGGAGATGCCAATGGTCAGTCACAAAGGACCCCGATATATGACCCCCAGGGGTCCCAGAGGAACTTCCTGAGGGCTTATCGTTAGCTAATCCAAGTTCAGTTATTGAGGGCATTCTGTCATTTCATTTAAATTTTTTGCTTGATGATGATGTAATTCATCCCATGTTTCTTCTCACCTACATTAGTAACAGCAGTCCAGTAGGAACAGGGCATCATGTCATAACTGCATTTATCTGCTGAAAGTTAATCAACTTTTAAAAGAAATGAAACTTTTCATATTAGTGAAAAAATACCAGGAATTATGGAGGTGTGTACCCAGCCATCAGCGTGACTGTTACTGTTGTTTTGTTAAAGACGTCAGCGTGACATCTGAGAATTTGACTTCTCTAGTGGTCATTACTAAGGAAATGGAGGAAGAAGAGAATCAGCTGATGGAGGAAGGCGAGAGAAAAGAAAAGGAGATGATGGAAAAGGTATGTGACTAATTCATTCCTCAGTATGTGATCTTTTTTAAGCTGTGTCATATCTAGGGTTGGACACTGAATTGGCTGAACCACTAATTATCAAAAATGGTCAAGAACCCAAAGCTGGCATCAGATATCTGCTTGGGTTCATCATTTGTTTGCCTTACTTTTCTGAAAAATTCAGGGATATGTGATCCAAGCACTTTGCTTGCATACACAAGTAAGACACTGTGTGAATGTGAAAATTATGGGTTGGTTGGTTGATTGTTTAAAAAATAAATAAATAAAAGTCCCTAAAAGTGATGCTGTGGGATTCATTCAAAAACATATGCTGTTGGTGCTAGTATACAATTTTTTAAATAATATCCAGTCCATTTTTCTAATCTTGTCCAACACTGTGATTATTGTGCGTGTGTCAAGGCCCGTGAATCACGGGAGAGAGATTCTCATGACATACGTCTCAAGAGACTGCAGCATCTGCTTCAGAAGAGCAACA